GTTTGATGTAAAACAAAAAAACCAGAAGGACTTGAATGCTTTATCACTGGACTGTATTTATAGTGTGACTGTGCAGTGTTTGTACATGAAATTTGAATGAGATTGGCCACAAACGCAGCTCACTGAGTGTTTTTTCCTGTAAGGTATGAGGATGGTTTCCTGCTGGCCAATCCGGGTAGCGTGGACCTGGCCGAGCGACAGCCGCTGGATGAGGAGAACGACCGTCTGAGAGACATCGTGTCGTCGCTGCACTCGGCCATGGCTGCAGAGCGGTCCAAGCGGGAGGGTGCAGAGAGGGAGTGTGCTGCTGTGCTGCAGGAGTTTGAGCGCCTGGAGCAGCGTCTCCTAGGAGCAGAAGGATGCCAGCTGCGGGTTCAGGAGTTGGAAGCTGAGCTCCAGGAGATGCAGCAGCTCAGGAAGTCCAGGGTGTGTCTGATTGGTGACATGGAAGACGGCCTAGAGAATCTGCTCAATAACGGCCCTGAGACTGACACTCCAGAGGAGAGCCCAGGGCAGGAGGATGGAGGCGAGGGAGGTGCTGGAGAGGCTGGGCAGCAAGGAGGACCGGTGAGAAAAAGCTGCAGCGACACAGCCCTGAACGCCATCTCAGCTCGTGACGCAACAGGTAGACGGCAGGGGAGCTACGCCCTCCACGCCAACGGCGTGCGCAAACGGGGCATGTCCATCCTGCGGGAGGTGGATGAACAGTACCACGCGCTGCTGGAGAAGTACGAGGAGCTGCTGGGGAAGTGCAGGCGTCACGAAGAGAGCCTGTGCCACGCAGGGGTGCAGACCTCGCGCCCCGTCTCCAGGGATCCCTCCATGAAGGAGTACAACATGGCCGCCGCGGGGCCTTCCACCTCCGGAGACGTCGTGATCGCCGCCGCCCCTCCTACACCCCCTCAGACTCCCTCCACCCCTGAAGCCCTGGAGGGGATCAGCAGGCAGGTGGAGCAGGTGGACAAACGGCTGAGCCAGAACACGCCAGAGTACAAGGCGCTGTTCAAGGAGATCTTCTCCCGACTGCAGAAGACAAAGAGCGACATGAACACGAGGAAGAGCAGAAAGACTAACAAGTGAGGCACAGATGAGATACTACAAACATCTCAGTTTACCAAACTGTTTAAAGGCTTCTCATTTAACCGTTTGGACACCCTTCACTGCTGTATCCTGTTTCACATGAAACTGCCAAAGGGATGAAATGCTTCTCCTGACTGTAACTGACAAACTATCTGAACGGAGGGTTTTGTTGTGACGTCGTTTGTAACTGATGCAGAAATGACTCCGTTTATTTTGCATTTATGATAAACACTGAAGCCAAATAACAGGCCAACTTTCAGAAGCTTTAAAACTTGCAGCATTTACAGCATGCATCTGGCTGATAACACAAAAAAAGCTAAATCTGTCTTTGAGAAACAGGAATCGCAAGCTTTTGAATGGCTCAACGAGCTTAAAGCTTTTTGAACTCACCGGATAGCACAAAAGTGTACCTCCTGAACAGGCAGCGATGCTTCTGCATCTTTTTCAGGGATTTATTTCATCATTTCCACACTGTGCTGTCACATGATCCAACTTGTTCCTGTAATAGGCTGTTTTAATGTTTCCTGTTGATTAAAATAACTACTGCATCAACCATGTTCTCCTTTTTTGTTTTTGTTTAAACCTCTGCCAAGGTGGTTTAAATACATGTTTTTGTTACTGCTTGCATGTGTGCTGCCAGTCTGTCTGTAAATGCAACAGCTCGGAAAGTTTTGAATGAATTCTGATAAAACAGATCCATCAAGCTCAACTTTATGATTTATTAAAAATCAACAAAAAGCCTTGTAACTTAGAAACTACGATTCTTAACATGTACAAAGTAGCCTGTAAAGATTTCTAACGTGTCACATTTGACCTCTGACCTCTCCTTCAAGGGCAGTAGATGATCCAAAAGTCAAAGTGATAATACTATTAGCTGATTTTTTTCTTACTGCCATTATTTGCATCGACAACATATCCCCAATGATATATGAGGATTGTAAATATCATGGTACTTTGGACCTCTGACCTCTTCTTCGAGGTCAAACTTTTAAAAATAAGACATGTTAAGAAACCCTGCTTAAAACTCTGCTGCCTTTGTTTGTACAGTGGGGCAAAAAAGTATTTAGTCAGCCACCGATTGTGCAAGTTCCCCCACCTAAAATGATGACAGAGGTCAGTAATTTGCACCAGAGGTACACTTCAACTGTGAGAGACAGAATGTGAAAAAAATAAAATAAATCCATGAATCCACATGGTAGGATTTGTAAAGAATTTATTCGTAAATCAGGGTGGAAAATAAGTATTTGGTCAATAACAAAAATACAACTCAGTACCTTGTAACATAACCTTTGTTGGCAATAACGGAGGTCAAACATTTACTATAGGTCTTTACCAGGTTTGCACACACAGTAGCTGGTATTTTGGCCCATTCCTCCATGCAGATCTTCTCAAGAGCAGTGATGTTTTGGGGCTGTCGCCCTCATGTCGACCACATGACATTCTCCCAATCCTCTGCTGTGTCATCCATGTGCTCTCTGGCAAACTTCAGACGGGCCTGGACATGCACTGGCTTCAGCAGCGGAACACGTCTGGCACTGCGGGATTTGATTCCCTGCCGTTGTAGTGTGTTACTGATGGTGACCTTTGTTACTTTGGTCCCAGCTCTCTGCAGGTCATTCACCAGGTCCCCCCGTGTGGTTCTGGGATCTTTGCTCACCGTTCTCATGATCATTTTGACCCCACGGGATGAGATCTTGCGTGGAGCCCCAGATCGAGGGAGATTATCAGTGGTCTTGTATGTCTTCCATTTTCTGATGATTGCTCCCACAGTTGATTTTTTCACACCAAGCTGCTTGCCTATTGTAGATTCACTCTTCCCAGTCTGGTGCAGGTCTACAATACTTTTCCTGGTGTCCTTCGAAAGCTCTCTGGTCTTGGCCATGGCGGAGTTTGGAGTCTGACTGTTTGAGGCTGTGGACAGGTGTCTTTTATACAGATGATGAGTTCAAACAGGTGCCATTCATACAGGTAACAAGTGGGGGACAGAAAAGCTTCTTACAGAAGACGTTACAGGTCTGTGAGAGCCAGAGATTTTCCATGTTTGAGGTGACCAAATACTTATTTTCCACCCTGATTTACGAATAAATTCTTTACAAATCCTACCATGTGGATTCATGGAATTTTTTTTCACATTCTGTCTCTCACAGTTGAAGTGTACCTCTGGTGCAAATTACTGACCTCTGTCATCATTTTAGGTGGGGGAACTTGCACAATCGGTGGCTGACTAAATACTTTTTTGCCCCACTGTACTGCTAACATTTAGGAATGATACTGGTAAACAGGGAGTCTAAATAACACAATTTGTATACAAATATGTCTCGTTTGACCTATGACCTCACTTTGGCATTTTACATCTGCCTCTCTTTCAGCTTGAGCCTAACATCTGTTAGATTTTTAAAGAAAGTACTGTCAAGACAAATAATGAATCCACATAAATAATCAGTAATTATTCTCAGGATGATGTCAGTAATTACAAAAGCCTGCCCTAGGCACTTGTTTTTACTGCACTACAAACCTCTTAAAGTACATTTACAAAGAACAAAGACAACAAAGTGAATATATACAAAATGCAGCACTATTACCTTTCAAGTAAATACTGCCCAGAGAGCGAGTTTCTTGGCAGAGGTTTGAGCTCTGAGTGCTTCTTTGTTTTGCTAATAGTTGCAAAAGTGCTCATGAAGGAAGTTTGTTTGGTAATAACCCTGAATAAAACACAACACACACACACACACCCAGTCTGAACACTTTAATGTGAACACAGATCAGTAAACTGTAGGGTAATACAAATAGCACACATCGAGTCTCACTCAACCCACAGAGGAAAAACATCAGTCCACGGCACGAGAGCTGAACGAAGCTTGACGGGCTTCACTCGGATACTTATGGAGTGTATTTAAAAAAAAAAAAAAAAAAAAAAGGAAAAACACTTTCATATGGCAGGATGTGTTAACCATCAGTGTCTGGTTAAAGGACTCGCGTCTCTATTCTGGTTCATAAGTCAATTATAGACGATTCTGAGCTCTGCCGAGTCAGCAGAGGCGGCGCGTGGCCGGTCGGGAGAGTCTGGAGGCACAGTCAGCAGTGGTAATCTTTAACTTGAGCAATACGAGGTGAGCGGTTTAACAGTTTTCTGCGGTGTTCGGTTCAATAGGGAACTGAGGTAACGCGCTAGAATTGATGTCCTCGGGAACATAAGAGGAGACTGGGTGATATAAAGCCATTAGTACAACCCGGACTCTTAGATTTAGAGTTCATTTATTAGATTTGAAGAAACCTACAAAGTACTGAAATGAAGGTGTTGGCGAATAAAGCTGATATGATTGACACCCTGAAACAAGGAGACTAGCATGTCCTCAGTCCTGATTCCCTGTCAATGTAATACAAAATCTGTTAAAACAGGCTCACACGATGGTCTGGCAAATATAATATTTAATAGTAAGAAGGCAACTGGCTCAACTAGGCTGTCTATTTTTTTTTATTTACTTGTTAAGGCCACATGGCTGCTAAAAAACAAAACAAAACCTGCCAAAATACCCTGATCAGGAAAAAAATTAAAAAAAGAACAAACAGCCACAGCTAAAGCGAGGGAATGCAAGGGGGTTAGAGGTAACTGCTTTCCCTCTTCTCTCAGCAGAATTTGCTGGCTGTTCGACTATTTGGAAAAAAGAAGTGGCCTGAATTCCAAATAATTTAACAAGACCCAACTACAAATAATCTGCTCAAAGGCTTTAGGCGGGCTGTGTCCAAGATTTGTGTCCAGCAATTACTGCTCAGTGACCGTACAGCGACCGTGTGCACGCAGCACTTTAGCTTCCTGTACAATTCTTTCCAAGGCAGATCGTGGTAATCATACAAAACAATGTGAAAAAGAGAGAAAAGAAAGGAAGGAAAAAAGTGATAGAAATCAAATTTGCTTGTTAACAGATGCTTTTTTTTTTCTTCTTTCCTTTTTTATAAACAAACTGTAACCAAAAATCTGGATAATGAACACCATTTACTTTCTCCGGTTTTTTTTTAAGATGTCATTCTTGTAATAAAGGCTGGTGCAAACAAAAATCAATCAGCGTTGCTATGGGAGGAATGATGAAGTGATTGGAATTTAGAAGAAAAGGAAAATAGATGGAACCGCAGGAGAGGAGTGAGCAAGCTGATGGACGGAGAGAGCAAAAGACTGAAACAATCCAATATCCAGGGGGAGGTGGGAATGATGGCAAGAAAAAAAGAAAAGCGGAAACAAAGCAGAGGAAGACATTGGTGGACCAGCGAGCGAGTGTGGGAAGGGGGGAAAAAAAATCAAAAAAAAAATCAGTCCTTCCAATCCTTCTTGATAGCGAGGCTCCATTCCCAAGACAGGTGATCGTTTTTGTCGTCATCGGTGAACTTGGACTTGATATGGTAGGTGCCGCGGGCCAGCATCCCTTTTGGGGCTTCCTCCATTGTGGTGAGGAACTCGTACTCCTCGCTTGGTCTGGGGCCGTAGCTGCCCACCATGTAATCAGACTTGTCAACTGCACATCACAGAGGGAAAGAAAAAGGAGAACTTTAGGATCAAGAGGCAGACTCACTAGTTTTTATTTTGTTTTGCCTTTTGTTTTTAAGTCAGTTTAGCTCCAGCATGGATTTTTATCATATGGAAATGGTTATAGTTTTAGTTTCATTGTTTTTTAATAATTACTGTATGGTGACCATGTATGAGAGGCAAGGTTTAGGAAAATCAGTACAGCTTTATAAAAAAAAACAAAAAAAACAGCAGAGTGAGATGATTTGAGCAGGCTCACCTTTAACTCCTTTCCTGAAAGTTTGCTGCATGTACTTCAGGCCTGACACGATCTCTTTGTTGACCTGCAGAAGGCAACAAGAGTTAAATTCCTCTGAAAAGCCTCTGACGATAATGATAGTGCTCTGCAGACTGCAGTTACATCTCCAGCAGTGATGTAACAAGAACACTGCGACGTAAACAGAGCGCAGTGGCGAGTGTGACAAACACCAGACTCTCACCTTGAAGCAGATCTTTATTCTGTACTCAACTCCCTCCTTCATCGGAAACGGGTTCTTCCTGAAGCCTTCCAGGTCCCCTGGCAGAAAGCAACACAGCAGGGACAGAAGAGTCAGATTCTTTCCACTTTGACAAAAAATTAAATTAAATTAAAAAAAATTACACAGCAGGCTGATAAACAAACAGTTCCCGTGGATTTTGGGATTTCAACACCCTGTAGTAAGAATAATGACCACCAGGGGGAACAATGTCACAAGTGAGCCTCTGCTCTGCTGGAGGGGGCTGAAGTTTCAGGAAATGGCTCATTAACGCGGACACATAGGAATCAAGTTGACACCGATTAGTGAACTAATGACCCAGCAGGCCTATGACCCCCACCCCCCACACACACACACACACACACACACACACCTTTCCATTAACACAACAATGAGACTTGTATGCCAGCCTCACTTCTGCTCACTTATTTTAGATTTCTAGTTTCTAAACTAAAATCGGCACGGACACGCCTGCTCTACTTACCAGTCAGATCGAGGACCAGATTGTTTGGAGCCGTATCGCACACCAGAACCATCTTCGTCACCTGGACGTTGGGGACAGTGGGATCTAAGACAAGAAGAAGAAGTCACGCAATTAAAAAACATCGTCACAGTATAGCAGGAGATAGAAAATCTCATTAGTTTGAATAAAACAACAGAAAAATGCTCAGGGGAGGTGTTACGTACACACACATCCATTTGTGTGTATATAACTACTCGAACACTCACTCTACGTTGCATTTAATTTCAGTGAAATTTGTCTAAAACATTAAACGCTCGTATCTGGCGAGTTAGAAACGCCATAACAATCTCTGCTTTTCAAACTCTTGAACTGAAATTGTAATCCGGAAAGGATTTGCTTTACTTTGCACACGTGGAGTTGCTCTACTTTCATGAATACTGTGCTAAAATTAGTCATTTAAAGCCTTTTAACTAACAAAGATTTCAGATCAACAGTACCAGCATGCTGTATGACAGTAAATCTGTATATTTTTAAACAGATTTCTTTGCTGAGAATATAACTCAATGGCAAAAATAGAGGAAAGAGTCTGTCTGAGCTGTTAATGACTAGTTTCTGACTCATCAGCTCAGTTTTCAATATTCTAACTGTTTCCACAACAAATTCCTGGCCTTGTGATACGCCGTGCTATTGGTAGGACAAACATGTTGAGCAACAACATTGGCAGGTTTATTAAAGAATGACTTTAACATACTTTTGTCATGTCGTCACTACACAGGTTTTAATCATAAATTTAAAAAAGGCACAAGCTAAATCCACAAGAAAAAACACTCCAACTCTTCTTGAAATCAACGCGTATTTAAGCTTATTGACGTATGTTAATTAACATCAACACACCAACGACTACAGCAGCCGCGTTTCCCAGCAGCGCCTCCTTGTACTTGCGCAGGCTCTCGTCATCTTGGTCCAGCTCCTGGATCTCCTTCAAGCTCTTCTGGGCGGGGGGTTTGTAGTTGACAGAAGAGTCGCTCTCATCATTGGCTGCTGCGATCGCTGCCAGCTCCTCTGGTGTGGGCTCGTGCTCTGCCATGGTGTGCTAATTGCAGCAGGAAACATTGACAGAAGAGAGAGGAAGGGTTAGATGACAGGAAAGTAGAGTAATACACTTTGACCGACAGAGGTTCGCACCACAGACTGCTTCTCCTTTTCACTCTTGCTACGAAGCGAAGTAGCGACGGGCTGTTTAAGACTTCCAGCTGCTGGGATTCATTATCCTGAGGGATAACAAACTTTGACCTGGGCGCAGCACTCTAAAGCTGCAGGTCATGTAGGAAGAAACAGCCTATTCTACTGCTTTAATAGTTCACATGCTGAAAGACAAAGTAATGGCATCTGCTCTGCAAAAACTTTCACTTCAGAGCAACTTCCCTGTTCAAACAGAGTGACAAGAGGAACAATCCACAGAGCTCGTGTGCACTATTTTCTTCATTAACAGGAGGCTGGCAACAGGTCAGCTATATTGAAATAAACCAAAGATGAGTCAGTTTTGTGCCTTGCGGGCAACTTTCACATTATTTTGACAAGAGCCCAGCCACTTCCAAAGCCCCTTTGTTTATTCAACACCCCAACACAGACTTGCACATATGCACACACCCTGACAGACACGAGCCAAGACACGTGACACTCTAACCCTCGCAGTCTACTTGGCGGACCAGCCAGTTTCCCTGATGTTGCAGCGATGACATACAGCAGAGGTTGGTGGTCTAAGAAGCTGATGGTTATCTGAGCTCCATGCTGTCCTAGTCTCTCCGGCTCAACAAGTAAAAAACAGCAATGCGCGCGTGGCCGTTTACACCCAGCTGTGCTCTCACAACCACTCTTACTGCTAATTGCCAGTGATTCTGAGCAGGCAACAGCACAGTAACACAATGAGACCTTGGACAACAAACCTGCTCTAGTTATGCAATTTATAACATCTGGTGCACAAATGCTGGGCAAAGCCTGCACAGTGCTGTTCAACACATGCAGCTGGATGATGGTACTGTGTAACACTTGCGTGAGGTCTGTTCTGCAAGCACAACAAGATGAGAACAGAACCTGCAGTCCTCAAACTGATAGCACTTTTCTACTCTTATCGACCACTGAAGCCTCACGTACAGTGCAAACCACAGTCGCAGTCATATAGTGCAAACCACAGTCGCAGTCATACAGTGCTTTATCGACTTGAAGCAGTTGATTTATCACACATAGAAAGCAAGAAGGCAGAGACCTGCAACGGAAACACAAAGACCAGCTTTCATGCACTTTGCCCTTTGAGGCGAATCTCAAAGCAACTCTAAACTTCTAACAAAATTAGAAGAAGTGACACTACTTACTGTCAAATAATGAGGCAACACAGCAGAAAGCTCTTTCTGGTCAGCGACAATTATTTATTAATCTGCAGGTGTTGCCCTGTCTTGCCATGAACAGAACATTCCTCCTAGCTAGCGAGCAGCTACACCCTCAAATGTCTCATCCTGCGTGTTTGCATGTTGAAAGAACTTCCTGTACTGCGCTGAATTTAACCATGCATCAACACGGGCCACACGTATCACTGTTTTAAACTGTGCAAAAATGTGCAGTATTGCATTAAACTGAAAGAGGAAGATTAGAGCACCAACTTCTTCTCCTTTAAACTCTTAGTTACACATGCTACAAAGATGCAGGCAGTGACTAACATCTCAGCTTCTTTTTCTTTTGTACTGTTGCAAATCAGGTTAACCCGGGAGGTAATGACACAATGAACGGGTACAAGCGAGCTAACAAATGCGGATAAAGCAAACGCACAAGAACCCACCAGACAAACAACCCTTAAGTGGCGACAGCTTACAAGGCCAGTTTCACCTGCTCAGTACAGGTTGTTACCCTCGGCAGCAGAATACAGCTGACACAACCTCACCCATCGCAGCAAATCACACTCAGCAAATGAACAGTGTTGAAAAAAACAAAACTGGTTTGTTGATCCGCCTAACCCTCTGCTCTGCTCTATTTTGCCTCCATATACAGTTGGGCATAAGCCAAGCAGGAACTGAGAATGCAGCACAGTTTGTTTTTTTTGTTTTCCCCAAATTGGGCCTCTATGCTCCCATAAAAGCACAAATTCCTCTTATCCCAATAGCTTGCTGGTTTGGCCTGTCAGCTGTGTGAGTGTTTCCTGGTCAAAAAGACAGGGAGAAAGAGACGGAGAAGAAAATCAGACCAGATATCACAGTGATGTGTCATATCATTCTTCAAGGCACAGGTTGTTTTTCTCGCTTCCTCTTCTCGACTTTCAATGCACTCCTTGTGACGGCTGTGCAGCGAGCAGCATTGTGACTGCAGCATACCAAACCGTCACACAGCAGGAAGTGCTCAGTCACAGAGAACTGGCATGTTTCTCTACTGGAAACTATTCTGAAAATCTCAAGTCAAAACTTCTCTGTCCTCAATCTCAGCTGTTAGTGTATAAAAATTATTATTTTTTGACTGGATCAGTACCTCACCTCCAAGATGAAAGTATGGCTGAATCTAATAACTATATACTATTCAGTTAGTGAGTCTAAACCACTAGGTAAGTCACAAAGCAAACCTTGAACTGAGCTTCTACACCGTTGGCATTTTGAAACCGCAAATTTTTACATCGCAACGGAGACGCGCCAAGCTTTACTCTCCTTTTTTGACTCCAATTGGGGCCGAAATACAACAAAATGATTCTATTCTATTCAACCAGAGCTAAAACTAGACTGAGATCATAAAATCATCAAGACAGGTCATAAAATCAGAACATGGTTTAATTGCTTTAATTGTTGTACAGCGCTTTGTGAGCTCTATATAAAGAAGCTTTACTAAGAACACATGAAAAGCAGGTTTGCATTATGGCATTGCTGGCACAAGTAAGCATGCAGTGTTAAGACACTTCCTGCTTCCATTTTCATGCTTGGAAAACGGAAGCCAGTGTGTCCATCTTTTGTATACAGTGTACGATTGGATAACATTTTCCCAGAAAAACATGATTATGGTGCACAAAGAAACAGTTTCCAAATTTGTCTCTAATGATACTAAGCCTGGTAATGACTAGACTGACGTGAAATACAATCACCATAATAAATGCAGGCAGTCATTTCTGAACTGTAAAACTGCAGGGCATCTGATGAAGTTATTCCAGTGCATCGAGCCACATTTACCAACACAAGCACCAAGAAATTATAGATACGGCTGTTCTAAGTGTGGCAGACAGCCACATCACTTCAAGCTACCATCTTAATCAAGTGTGAAATTGTTGATTCAGCATATTTTTAAAGAGGGGGGGCATAAATAGATTAGTTTGAACAATACTGACATCACCACCCTCATAATAATACCCCTTTCCCCCCCTCGCTCAATCCATGTGGCTTGTGGCTAAGCAGCTACATACTGAGCTGACAGGAAAAGGCCCCGTCATTGTTCTGCCTGCTGGGAATCAACACAGAGGTCATGAGATCGTGTAAACCCACACTGGGATGTGCTGCTGGACTTCTCCTTTTCAGTGTCCCAACCTTCACCTGTGCTACTTTCTCCTTACAGGTGATAATCTCGCCGCTTGGCTGGACTAAGCAGCACAAATTTACAAACATACCAGGCTTGGCAGGAGTTGAGGCTTGAGATTAGTCTTGCTCCCTAGCAACACTGCTGAGCAATAAGAAAAAGTGGGATTATGGATCACAAGGCATTCGGGGCCAGGAGAGGAAAGTGTTTGTGTGGAAGTGTCGCTGGTGACGCACCAGGAAGCTCTCCTGTTGAAACATTAGTGACTGTGGCAAGTTATTGAGGTTAAGGAGGCACCAGGTAATCCCTGTGGGATGACACAAGAGCTACAGGTGTCATTAATATATGTGTGTGAGTGTTCATAAGGGTAATGAACTAGATATTATATTACTGAAACATCCATACAATGAAAGCAAACTTGTGGTTCTTGTGTTTGTCCTCATCTTTCAGGTTGCATATTGTTGTTATTGAATATCTACTTTTAACCATTAATGAGGTGAATAAAAAAAGTTATTCTTTCATATGCCACATCCCCTGGACAGAAATACTAGAAAACAAATTTTATAGAGTTTTTTTTAAATCAAAGTTAAAGTCAACTTTTTATTCTCTACTAAAATACTGAGCATTATTTCGATAGTAAATAGAGATTAGAAGTGATGTATTCTGTATTTTCCTGGTTTACTTTCATTAAGCACCATCAACGGCATTATTTAAAAATTAAAATGTAACATTTATTATATATTTATAGAATATCTAATATATATATAAAAAATAATAAAACATGGTTATGAGTTTAATCTACTAAAATTACTTAGATTTAACCTGGGTTATTAAATCATGGAAAGTCAGGGTTCACAAAGCATTTTCTTTAGTTGTTGTTGACATTTATTTTGATTTGCTGTTTGAGCATATTGGCATAATGTGGTTGGTGCTGGCATCACCTAACCAATCCAAAATATGGGATTAGAGCTACAGACTTCTAACAACAAACTGTAATCCTGAGAAAACATGAGGAAGTAAAAGACAAAACCCAAATGAATCCCAGCAACTGCAACAACAAAGTCTCAATAGATGCGACTCTAAATACAATCACGTATTCTATTCAATTTGTAGGCTGTGTAGGTATATCATTTTGATGTCCAAGACAAGTGTGCTACAAGCCTTTGGAGTATCTGTTAAAAGGACTGTGACTACACAAAGCATATGTAGCAATAAAATTGCTTAGAAATCATTTGCAGAAAGCAGGAACAAAAAAAAAAAAAAAAGGACATAATAGTTTCCTCTGTAGAGAATCAAACATTTACTGATGCCGTTCAAAGAAAGCCAAAGGGCTTACACACACATTTTAGGGTCCATCTCACTGTCTGCACTCAAAGGTTGATCGCTCATTTATTATCTGCTTTAAGGTGTCTGAAGATCCAGCATAAACTATCACGACAACAACAGGTTAATGTAGAGGTTTACCCCTGAGGCTACCTGGATAAGCCAGTTACCATCCCTCACAGTCCAGCCCTCTGGCCGTGGAAGATTTGATGTAATCTTATGAGCTCCGTTTAGAGCCACTGGTAATGCAATAGATGCTGCTGTTCAGGTTCTTCACTGCAGGCAAAGGGCAATGGAGCGGAGGGGGGTGGGGGGGGGG